CACTCTGTTATTGATTCCTTGGGATTTTTCCCCGCTTTTTTCCCCCTGAAGAATTGGTTTCATTTCTGTACATATGGATTCTGTAGCCTTCTTCAGTAGGTGGGGAAAAAATTGTTGTCCTCCCCCATGTTTGGGAGGATGGACCTCATTAAGCACATTCCTTCTTTATTTTTAACCTTCCATCAGGCAAACAGCAAAAAATCAAAGCTTGTTTATAGCCATGCTGGACAGCTCTCCATGGCAATTGTTGCTTCGTGGCCTGAATTGTTTTGAAAAGGACAGCCTTTGATCTCTCCAGCCCTTCCCACACATAACAGCTCCTGATCTATTCAAAGCAAATTGCTCCCCCTATCATGGATTAACTAAAGATTTTTGATAGAAAAACCTCTACAAAGGGTTCAGAGGGGCTGGCAGTGGAGAAGAAGCATTATGAAACACAAGAATGGATTAAACAGCGAGTGAAATTGTTAAAAAACACCTCTAAATTATGTAATCAGTGACCTGGGCTCAAACTGTTTGTGTCCTTCCTCTCTTGCAATCCTGCTGCTGCTGTTACGGGTTTTGGCTTGGGAGAAATATTTTTCTGAGTCCATTTCACCTTGATGGATTATGATGCCATTTTAAATGTCAATTGATAATAACTGTGCCATTAAAAAAATTATAAATATTATCTGTTTAAATCTACAGTGTCCCTTTTATTAATATTTCTAATTTATGAGCATTTTGAGAAACCTACAGAGACAACAGGGCTAATAAATCTGAGGTGAAAGGGACTCCAGAAGCAGGCTGCGTGAGCTTTACGCTAGATCACTGCCAGCTGTTGAACTCTGAGGAGATCAGAGCAGCTCAGATGTCAGTGGGGAGATTGGTGGAGTCCAGTAAGGCACAAAGGATGGAAGACAAAGCTGCAAGGACATGAGGCTGCAGGGGTGATGTGCAGCTGCGGGTGCAGCGGTGTGTCTCCGGCTGCCTGAGCTGGCTGCCTTGCTCTGAGCAGCTGACTGAGCACAGGCCCTCAGAGACGAGCTGCTGTGAGCTGCAGCATAAACACTGCACAGCTCTGACTCTGACTCACATCTGTGAATGGAGTTTAAAGGAGAGGCTTCAGAAGGATTGGGTGGAATATCATCCCATTACTGCCTTTATCCAGTGGGAGAGACCAGTGGAACAGGAACGGTCCTGTTCCGTGACCGACAGGGTAAACACAATACTTCCTCCTCGAGATAGCCAGTATAGGGGAAAAAAATCCAGAGTATAAATCCCAAGCTGATTTTAAGTCTATGCATCCAGAATTTTTCACTTTCTGAAATTCTTTAATTTATAAACCTCAGGGGTTGTGTGGTCCTCTAGATTTGCCTGGCACAGAGAGGTTGAGTTGAGAAAATCAACATGGCATGATTTTGCTCTAGACAGCCGCCTTCTGCTCTAACGGGTTGCCTTCAGAGCCCAGCAGTCCCAGAGGAAGATGTGTTTCCTGCCTCAAGGAATTTACAGACTAAATTAGATGGGTAGCACAATAATTGTAACAAATGAGAGTCATCTGCATTTCCAGGTCAAGCAGAAATATAAAAATATCCCCAAACTACCCTGCAAAAGCCAGCATATTTCATCTTGGCAGAAAAATAACTTCTTCATTCTCCGGTAATTTAAAAGTAAATAATTTCTTGTTTTGAACTTAAATAATTTGTTACATTTCAGCAACTCAATCATTTAAGAAAGAGGGTCAACTGAACTGTTTTAATTTTCAAAATGTTCATTTGCATTTCAAGGGTCTATTTTTTGCCACTCATCTTTATTTTAACATAATACAAAGCAAAGAAATTCTGAGTGAGCAGTCATTCCAAAGACAGTATTTAATCTCTTTTTTTAGTTAATGAAATTGTATTTAACACTATTTTTCTATTTCTGTATTAAAAATAGTAAAATGTTCTAGTCTTTTGGTACTACTTAAACATTTTGATATCAAACCTGCCTTTTGTTCTAAAGAAACTTCTGTACACAAAACATGGGATTTATGCATCATTACACTGCTGCTTTCTAATCCCCTTTCAAGAGTTGTCACTTATTTATCCTATTTCCTACTTTAGTGCTTGTTTTGTTTTCCTATATAGAAGAACAAAAATATATTTCTCAGTTGGCATTGCCTTCAGTTTTAATAAAAAAGTACAATACAATCAGACAGAACAAAAATAAAGCCTTCACAAGGACACTTTCAAGTTGTAAATTTGCATGTGAGCATCTAATTTAAGTACACACAGAAAATCAACTTGTCACTGCAAGCAGCAGGGAGGTTTAAAGTTGCAGACTGAGACAGACTAGTTATACAAACATGCACAATTTGATTTTTTGACATGGGACTACAGAATCATCTCAGCAGGTGTCTGCACAGAACAAGCTGGTGGCAGTGGAGACAGGCAGTGAAGACACTCTGAGTATGGGGTAATGCTGAATTCACTCGTGACCATAGAATAAAAATACTTATTCTATTCTGAGATGGAAGGTTGGAGTCTGCCTGTCTCAACTCTCTTTACTTCAAGAATTTTTTAACATGAATGCACATGTATTTCTGCCAGAAGGCTAAGTTTTTCCTTTTCAAAACTGTGGGTGTTTAACTCAGCAAAAATGGAGCTGGGGCAAGGAAGAGGGACGAGAGGCATATTTTTTGCCCTGAGAGTCTCTAGGCGAATTTACTCAGCTATTTTACCCAAAGATATGGGTCCTCTCATGAGGAGTACTGGAACCTATCAGACTTTCCAGTGAAATCCTCTTCTTCCTCCTCCTCCTGCCCCTGCAGCAAGAAATCAACCTCATGAACACCTAGGTTTTAGTAACCAACCAAAGTTTTCCATTGCAAAGGAAAATGTGGCCTTGTTTAATTTAATAATTGAAGCAGAGAAATCCATAGGCTTCACTACAGCACCTATATAGATCCTTTGGAAAAATGGACAGCAGGGGAGGCTTAAAAAACAGATGTCCCTAGACCTGTTTTTCCTGTGCCTGAAACTAACAGGTAAAAGGGAGCACAGTAAACATCAGAGAGTTCAGCCACTGTAATATATACTAAATTAATACAGTGAAGGCTGGGTCAAGGACTCTCAACTTGAGGCATCTGGGAAGTAAGATTTGAAGCCATTGCTTTATAGGAAGCCAGAAAGCAAGAAGAGTGGTCCCCTTTTTACTTCCTCAGGCAAACAGAGTAGGGAAAGTGGGGTGATTGTAAATTAATGTACCAGGTTTCTCCTTGTGCTTTTTTATGGGTTTTGAATCAGGAATCACAAGGAAAAAAGGGAAAGCTCGTTATTAAATAGGCAGTTTTAATCCAGGGTATGGATTCAGAGCACCTTTCTTTCCCTTCTCTCTGCACACAGGCAGCACACTCACCTGTTCTCAGCCCATAAATTACCCACTCTCTCATTCTGCCTAAGCAAAGAAGGGGGACACTTCCCTCTTTGTGCACAGCCAGGATTACAGACCGGCAGCAAAGCTGGAGGGGACAAAGCTTGGCTGGAGAGGCATTCCTCCTCCAGTGCAGGGGATTGAAACGGGAAGATGTTCCCTGCTTGATGGAGAGGGCCACAAGAACTTCTGCACCCACATGACAGCTGCCACCTCATCACACAACCAGGAAGGCACAAGATCCTCCTTTATAGAAACTGCAGAGGGATGCAAAGGGAACAAAGGAAAACATTTCCCAGTCTACCCCACGTGTGTCATCACTGTGAAAAACGCTCACTGTCTATTCCATCTCCTGGGGAGAATTTTGATTCATAAAATAAGATAATTCAATATTCTTCATCATGACTGGCTGCATCATTTTGAACCTCTTCCATTGTTCTTTTCCTCATCACCCCCACTGTTTTTCCAGTATCTAGAATCTGGAAAAAGCCGAAAGCCTTTCATCTTATCAGGTGTGGTTTATTGCCCCCTGGTTACACAGTAATTTTGGTCTCAACTCCATGAAAAGGTCATATGATGGGATATCAGCTCAAGAATTGTCAGTTCGCTGGACAAATAAGGCAAGGACTGCCAATACAATTATAAGAGCCTGATAAGGAAGGCACAGAGAAGAGCCAGCAGGAAAGGGAGAAACGACCATAGCAATTTAAAAGGTGAGGGGCAATCCCAGAAGAACGCAAAATATGCCCCTGCGGGGAGGGAGAGGTAAGGAAGGTATCTAACCACATTCTCCCCAAAATAAAAATTAACAAGAAGGTAGAAGTGGGTCAGGAGAGGAATCACAGGTATTCACCCTCATTAACCAGGAAATCTCCTGCTGTGCTGGATGCCTAATTGAGAGGCGTAAGCAACTGGCGGGATGATTATCAAGCCACCTTGCCTCATAGCTCAGGATGGAAAGAAAATAATGTTTTCTCTTTAGAAGTGTAGTAGGGGGTAGAGGGCAGTAATTCCTATCTGTACGTGTGTTGGAAGGGCCATCTCTTTTTCTCTGGTCACTGATAAGATGGGATGATGTTGAAAAGCACCTGCTTAGAAATCCAAAGAGTTTTCACAATAGAAGAAAAGAGAATCTGAACCAAAGCTGATGGCTAGGAGGCATGGCTGAAAGAAAACCTGGGAACTGCTGGTGAGGAAGCTTTTCATATGTGACACCTCCTTGCATGCAAAGAGAAGTTTACAGGTTGTTTCTCTAGGTAGTAAACGGCCCGAGGGACAAGTATTTGTCCTGCCAATTATTTTCTTAACTCCATAATGGTGCAAATCCAGTGGACTTTTCGCAGGTTGCAGCCTGAAAGCAAAAAAGGAAGATAACTTCCCCACAAACAGGATTTACCAACAAGAGGCAACGCTTCCAGGGGGTTTTCCTCCTGGGTCTGCAAGGAGCACAGCTCCTCCTGGAATGGCCATGCAATTGTCGAGAGCTCCGTGAACCCGACAGGCAGGGGGAATGCTCAGCAGTGGGTGGGGTGGTAAGACTTTTAACCCCGTAGTAGTTTATGTAGTTCTAACACTGCCTTCCCCAGGCTCAGGGAGTGCAGGTCCTGGTCCCAGGGAGATCGGCAGTGAGGAGCAGGGCTGTGTGCTGAGTTGCGGGTCGGCTTTGTTTCTCCTCCCAGCGCTGCCGCAGGTCAGCGGGCATGGGTGGGGAGGGACACGCACTGTGCCAGCCGTGTGTTCCTCGGCGTGCTCCGAGAGCCAGGGCACCACCACAGTGCTCTGTGTGCCACCCTCTGTGCCACCCTCTGTGCCACCCTGTGTGCCATCCTCTGTGCCATTCTGTGTGCCACCCTGTGTGCCGCCCTGGCAGGAATATGACGGACCCCCGGGTGTGTGCTGGACAGAGGAAGCCCAGCCTGTCCTTTTCCATTGAGGAAATCTTAAAGAAACCTTCTGCCAGCAGTGTCCTGAGCAGTGAAACCAGACTGAGACCTCCGTCCCTAAAAGCAGGGTCAGGGGTGGCCTTTGGTAAGTACCAGTTATAACTCTTAATGAAAACGCTCCTTGCTTTTTGATCTCTACAGCTGTCGGGTTTAATTGTGTGGAATTTCGATTCTTTAACTTCTGTAGGAATTTGGGATTTGCCTTATCAAGTACAAATCATTCATTATGTATACAGAAATAGTATTTTAAAAATAATTTGCTTTCAACCTCGCGGTAGATCGAACTGGGGGTTTGTACGTTGTAAGTCCCCGGTATCATTGGAGAGGTGAGTATGGAACCTGAAGAGTTATTTCAGGTAGCTCTCTTCAGTGAGGAGTGCTTATTGTAAAAAATACAGCTTCTTTCCTTTTGAAAAACAATTCTCTTGTTATCTGGGAGGGGGGAAAAAAACAGATGAATGCCTGCCATAAGAAGGACAGGTATTCACACTCGGGAAGCCTAAGACTGCTGAAACTCAACAAAATTTTCAGAGTTTCACTTATATCAAGAGTTGACTGTTGTCTGAAATTACAGTCAAATCTCATACCAGCACCCTCTTCTGATAAATCTGACCACTTGCCCTCAAGCAGGAGAAATGATCTGAAAGGGAAATGGTACCTATAGGAGTCTTAGAACCCAATTGCTGGAATAAGAAAGCATTCATGTTTAATAATTTCTTCTTATCATCATGGACACTAGGTTCTTTCATGAGCGAAATAAAAACAGCTAGTAGAAAACTTGCATGACTTTGATCCTAGCAAACCAGCAAGTGCATTAGACTTTTTGACTATAGTTTTCACAGTTTAGTTACTCTGGCCTTGAGTGAACTTTTACCCCCACAGAAATTGTCTCTTTCCTTTCATGAAAGAAAGTACAACATCCAGCATTTTCTGGATTTACTATTTTTTCATCTTTTCAATCTGCATCTTCCATGAAAAAGAAATACTTTATGTATACAAGCAGATCCACTTAAACACAAAATTACCTGTAGTTTTGACACAAAATTTTTCACTCACCTCAAACTCAACTGCTTTCAACAAAGCTTAATACTACACTTTTATTTTTTTATAATATATAGAGATTTTTTTTTTATGGATCAGGACCCCATTTCCCAGGACACTGGATGAACCACTCATTAGTAAGGGAGAGAGTCTTTTTCCAAAAGTCTGTTAGTCCAAGAAACTATTTGCGTATGTGCATAGTTTCATCTTTTTTTATGTCCAAACTGGATACCGACCTGGACTGGAAAGAAAACAAGGCCTAACGGAGAGGGAACCTACTTGCTAGTGTAACCGGTTACTGGGGTTGGACTCAGGCACCCTAACCCTGACTCTCAGTCATGCTTTGCCCAAGATTTGGACTTCTTTTTGTTCATCTCTGACACAGGATAACTCGTCTCCTCACCATGTGGCAGTCAGCCCACCACTCACCTCACAGCACTGGGGCTGAATATACCACTGCTGCCTTTGTTCCGGTAACCAGCTTTCCATGGAAACTTCTGTATGGGGAAGAGAGACAGTGTTCTGCTGGTTTATCCCAGAACCATAGGATAACTGGGTTTTGGAGGGAACATCTCCAGGTCATCTGGAGTTACAGCTTCCTGCTCAAAGAAAAAGCTGTTTCAAAGATAAAAACGAGGTTGCTGAAGGCTTTGGCAAGTGTTGCTTGCCTGTTTCGCCACTGGTGCTATTGGAGGACTGGAGCATTTGGAGGTTTCCTTAAGCTGCTTTTGCTGGCTGGAACTGGACCAGCAGTCCTGAAAGAAGCAAGAACTTGGTCGTTTGTCGGGGTGGACAAGGACATGGCTGCTCCTGGTGCAGAGGGGCCCATGTGCTGAAGGAGCACAGGTGCCAGGTTGTGAAGGGGGAGAAATGCTGCTGTGAGCCGTGGCAGTGTGGTTTTGTGGGCTGAAAGTCCTTTCCTGAGGGCCCATGGCAGTCACTTTGTGCCACAGGATCCAAAGTGAGACAAATAACACCACTGAAAATTCAGTCAGTGCTTGTTCACCACATGGGCGACAGAACTGCATTTCAACAACGCAAGAGTGTTCTCTGGGAGCAGAGACAGGATCTTTCTGTATTAAATCTTTTTTCAAAACAATGCATATGTCAAAGCCCAGTTTCACTGTGGTCTTAGCTGAGTGTGTCTTGGCTGCTGCAAGCACAGGGGTCTGACAAATCTGCATGCAGGACATGGTGGGTTCCTGGGACTGCACTACTGCCCTACCAGTGCAGCCTCACCCCAAGTTGCTCCACCTGAGCATACAGTCACTTTTTCATCTTGAAAGCAATGCAGGCAGAACTACCAGGCCTTGCCTTTGGCTTTGCTTCACCAGACAGAGACTGTAGCTGTAGCAAGAGAATATAGTGACTCTTCTCTCCCCTGCTAGAAAGCAAGGCCGGATTCATAAACTTAAGGGAATATAGAATATTAACTAAAGAAAACGGTGTATACACATGAAGATTCACTTAATTGTTACTGGAAGTGGGAAAGCAGGAAAGCTGTAGAAATCTTCCAGAATGTTGTTGTACTTTGTTTTTGATTGATCAAGGAAGCTTAAAAAAAATTAAAACCTTTTCATTATTTGTTTCTTACCTAAGAATGTGGTACCTAAGTTCATTACCCTTTGCTTTCTAAGCAGAACTGTGATTTATTCATATAAATTATATTTATTTCTGAAGCACAATACTCTGTGCTGTACATCTGGGGATAATTGCTGTATTACATCTAAGTCATTCAGCTTCATACCATATAACATTGTCATTAAAAAAATGGTGTAAATAATCAGCCACATCTCGTATGGCTCGGTGCTGGCCAAGGTCAGGGAACTGAAATGAGCTAGGGAACTTGATGAAAATTCCAGGATGGGATACAGATCCAGCTGCTTTCTCGTAACAGTTCAGCAGCAGCAAGGAAGTAAGTACAGGTCAGGGTTTAGTTATATCTTACTATGGATTTTAAGAACATTCCCCACAGCACCATATGGTATTTATCTGAGCAAAGCCATGACTCATATGAGAGACAGGAAGATCCATATGGCATCATATAGGCTACTATAGGGCAAATACTGAGGCCAGAAATTACCATCTGATGTAGACAGTCTCAGTACCAAGATCACTCTTGTCCTGAAGTCTAAATCTAGACATTATGAACTGAGGAGATAGGGGAGCAGAAGATGCAGAATGTCAGAAATGGTTGGACTGAGTGGTCTAATGTTTGGACTCAATGACTTTAAAAGTCTTTTCCAACCTATGATTCTAAATAAGGGGTGTAAACCAATATTCCCAAGAAAACCCATGGGTGCTGGACCAGATGACTCCTAGAAGTTGCTTCTAACAAATTATTCTGAGTCTCTGACAAAAAGGATGTTGTGATGCACAGTGCCAGCACAATCTCCCAAAAAGCTGGGGCTTCATCATGTATGGGAAGATCTCTGGGCCTGACTCCTGAGTTCATATGTTTTTGTGAGTGTAATTCCAGTGGGACTTGGAATAAGGAGTGTGCAGTGTTCTCTGAAGCATTTGGCTTCCTAGTTGCAGTGTTAGTCATAACAGTGTTAGTCATAGGGGAGTTCTCTGCACAAACACAACAGCTAGAGGACGTGGAGCTGCAGTTGTTGAAGCCTGTTGAAATCACTGAAGACTCTTACCAAATCAAAAAACAAATAATGGACAAGAAGACATTTTAGTATGCGGTCTGTGCTTTTCCTCTCAGCCTTTTGTTACAGTGCCTAGAAAGGGTAACTAACCATGGCTTTTGCAAAGAGCACAATTAAACGCCCAGTGTGTGCTGATCTCCTCCCTTGTGCCAGCTCTGTCATTTAAAACACAGAAGAATATCAGGCCTGTTTCAGAAAAAAAAAAAAAATTGTTCTGAAATTCCTGGGAACCTGATGTTAATGTACTTGAAATTGAACATCTGAAGTGATTGTTCATTACTGCCCTGGTTTCTGCTAGTGAGGTTTCACCAACAGGAGATCCTTTATCAAGTCATGGAAAGCTTGGGATAAGAGTGTTACACCTGGGAAATTAATAGTGAAAGCAGTAACAGATACGGTAATTTTGTCATTCTGCTTGTGTTATGCTCCATCATGGTAAGGATATGCAAATTAACAGGAATACAACCACCACTTTACACACAAATGATGATTGTTCACCTTTAGCAACACTCCACCCAGCTTTATCACTAAAGAGGAAACAAACTGAAGGAATCTAACTGAACAGATACCATCTGGCCAATAAGACCAATTCACCCCACCTATTACAAGGAAAACCAATAAACCTGGAAAGCAAAAATAAGGAAAGAAAGAAAAAATATGTAGAAGAAATAGAAAAACAACACAATACAAAGATGCTTTTGTTTCTCAGTGATAGACTCTTCCCTGTTCACAGCCTTAGTAAGAGCCTAAAATCATAAACCTTGTGCCTCCACAGGTCTGTCTCTCTCCAGTGATTACACAAGAAGGCTTAAATGGAACTTAGGTCATCTGAAATAACCTCCTGCTTTCAAAATAAAACCCTACTATCTTGCCTGAAATTGTCCATCCTTTCCTATGCAACTGAAAGTCAAGACAAAAAGACCATTTTGAGCCACAAGTCAAAGTAATTTCTGTTCATGACAGTAACAAGTATCTCGTGTTTCTCTAGGCTGAAATGTCATTGCCTTCCCTGGAGGAAAAAAAAAAGAAAACTACATTCCCTGGAGGAAGTTTTGCCCTGTGTCAGTTCATAGCTATTTTTCAGAGCTCCCTGCTGGAGTCACATGAATGTGTACCCAAAAAAATTCTAGCTGGCCTAAAGAACAACCACTTCAGGCAGTCTCTTTACTTGGTCAGAACAACAAACACCAGAGAAGGTTGCAATGCAAACAAGACTGGGGCTCCTAACTCTCTTCTATGTGCTATAAACTCAGTATCATCTACCTTCAATCTTATCCTCCAGAAAAACTCCTTGATTAATTCAGCCTATCTTTGAGGCTCATACTTCTTTGATCTCAAACAACAGATCTTCCCACTCCTTTTCACCAGTTCACAGAGACATTGGCATTTTCCCATCTGCCTAGGACTGTCTTCCATTTCCTCCCTGTTCTTTCTACTTCAGTCTGTAATTGCTCACTGCTGTGCTTATACATAACTTGTGCTCATCACTAGGGTATGTGAGCATCTCAGGGAAAGATTTTGGGGAGGAAAGTTGTATATGAAGAATAAAGACATGAAAAGTCTTCTATAATTTAGGAAATGCTAATGTCATTCTTAGAAAGCTTTAATCACTCCCCATAAGAGCACCTTGCTTAGGTGCCCTTACATTTTTCATTACTGTAGGATATATGCATCATCACTTCTGAAACATATTAATTTTCACAGCATCACATCTGGCAAAGGAGTGCAACTAGTCTTTAATTTAGGGATGGGAGACTGAGATAGAAATCCTGGGCTAAGAACCTATGCCAGTACTGATAGCCTCTGATCATCTGTTATTTAACCCCTGCCTCAAGCTAGTGAACATTCCCAGGTCTGTCCTTCTCCTTTATCCCACAAATATTATTCAAAACTTCACCTGTTTTCTCACCAGAAAACTCAAAGTTAGTTGATACTAAAGGAATAAAATGAGTTCTGTTTTGCACAATGTGCTTCAAACGCAGAGGTGGGCCAGATTTTTAAGGTCCACATGACTGTACACATATAATTGTGTTTAGAAGGTTACTCAAAGATTGATGATATTATAAATAGATAACATTTGCTCAATTATTCTTCATTGAAATGGAGCTTTGTCTAATGTTTGGAGCTCTTACAACCTCGTTTTCTTCATGGAAGTGTCAACCCTCTATAAAATTCCTATTGTGTGGGCTCTTAGTGAGGGCACAATCAGAATTGGGTACTTTGTCTCCAGATGTTACAATGATCATTGCTCCAAAGCTGCTTCCAAATAGAACTTGTTTGTTTGAGAAAAGAAATCTCTAACAAGTCTAAAAAGTTAGGTGTTTTGCCAATCCCAGATGTGACATATATAGATATGATATGATATGATATGATTAATATAATATATTAAAATGCATTAAAAATTAAGAAGTGGAGTCTCTTCCAGTACAGCCTGTAGTAGTTCACACCTGCTACCTTTTAGATATGAGAAGGTAGAGGGGACCACCCAGAGGTGCAGCAAACACCAGAGCCTAGATGTGGGAGACTGCTCAGGGGTGCAGACCATTATAACATTAGGATTTTAATGTTCTTTGGCAAGCATAGCAGACAGACCTGTACTGTTATATTTGTTCCCAGAGCATGCAAACCATGACACCTAAATTCTCTAATGGGTATGTTATGTTTATGTGTTGCCTTTTACTCTGTCTTTCCAAGCAAAGAAATGCAGGTGGGGAGGAGAACTAGAGAAAATTCTAGGCTTGCCATTAAAGCAGCACAGATACAGATGTCTTGTCTCTGGAGAGTCAACTGAGCCATGATTGCAACTACCAAAGGCAGCACATTGAGCATTCAGCATCAGGGTTTATGGCAAGGCTGTAATATAGAAAAGGGAGGTGAAGTTACCTTAGAGATGGTTTATAATGTCCATGCTCAAATCTAAGCTAATGTTACAGCTGCACTTCATGGAAATAGGCCAACACATGCTTCTCCTGTTTGGCCTATCAACAAGAGCATGCAGGTGACTTCACAGAGATGAGCTGGCTGTCAGTACCTTCCTAGATATCACCAGTGTCATCTGTCACAGAGGGAAATGTTGACAGCCTGGGCAAAGGCTGCCTTTAGAATTGTCTAAATCAGAGCAGCAGGCAGCCAGATGGAGAAGAAAGGACAGTGGGACCTGAATTGGGGAAGACACTGACTTTTAACCTATTCATTGGCCCATTTTCCTCTAGTGTAGGTGTATCCACAGGGACATTTAAGAAAGGACCAGACTTTTAAAAGCATTTGGCATCCAGCAAATTCCATGGCAATCTTGTTGACAGATTTTCAGAGCAGCTCAATATCCACTTCACTTCCAAGTTCTTCAAGAAAGGCAGCCACTAATTTGGATACTGACAGGGAAGCTGAAATTTCTCCATCTTTGGTTATGTCTCCTTATTTTTACAGTCCTTTTTAAAAATCTCTCATAAGGACCATTGAAAGTTTTAAGGTGGAAGGAAGCAGAGAACAGGCAAAATTTGGGGGTCAAATTCACTGAGATCCTGTGTCTGCAACATGGAGTAATCTTGGCATTGAAGTACAGCACAGAAGGATTAGGGCCATTTAAAATATGATCAGGTTTGAATGGCATAGTATCCAGACAGCTTTTTTCACGCTAACTGGAAGGTGCACTGAACAGTGGCTACTTTGTTCAAAGCTGTCTTGTGCTGTGTCCTTCACAGATTCCAGCAGCCAGAGACAGTCTGACTGTGGCTTACCTTCAGTCAGAATGCTTCTTCCCACCACATGTGCTGCACCCATGGCCAAAGCAAGGAGAGTTCAGGCAGCTCACTGCAGAAGGCCTACTGCCAACCCAGTGTCCCTCCTGGGTCAGGACACGGGACGTGAATGTCTGGAAGGCAAAAGGAAACATGAGGAAGAGGAAGATCAGCTATGTGGTTTCCCAGTGGACCATCCACTTCATGGTGAGTGCCTCCATACCCAGACTTTTCCCTTCAATGCCCCAAAACACAACTGTTATCTTACAAATACGTACATGGCAATAAACAACACACATCACAAATGTTTCCATTGGCTGAGTCACAGTAGATGGTCATAGCTCCTGGCTGAGTCATAGAGACTCATGTCTTCATTCTTCATTCTTGCCATCAGAAGACTGAAGAGCCACTGTTTGAAGTTCCAGCTCAGTCCTACCAACTCTACCAATGTTAATGGTAGGGACTGCTTAGGGTGTTTATTGCCCTCCTGCTCGGGGTGTGAGGAGTTAGCACGTTCTGAGCCTCACTGCCAGGGTTGTGCAATGCCTGTTTCCTGGAGAATGTGCGTTGCACAAGGTGGGGAGAGAGGCTGGTGAATAAGCTGAGTCAGCTCAGTGTGTTCTGTACACCTTGGACCCACTGTACAGGTGATGAAGAGGTCATCAGCAGGCACACCAGCAAACTGGTGATACGCAGTAGATTTGGCAGGATGTGTCAATCTTCAATTCTGGCCATGTTGGTGAATCTGTTAATTTAATTATGAACACTGGTAAACAAGGGTCTGTCTCTTAGCCAAAGCACTAGACAACACAAATATCCTTTTCCAATATGTTGCACAGAGACTTTAGGCTAAGCAGGATATGTGGTACCTGAACAGGACAAGTTCCTAACAGACAGAGGGCAGTTAATTAGCAGCATGTGAGAAGAATTCCTCTAAGTTCTTTGAGTTTGAGGAAAAGTTAATACAGACATTCTTACTACACTCCAGAAAACATGTTTTCAGCAGCAGCAGAAAGGTGTGTTTTGCAGTTTGTTATTATTTACTTGAGGGAAAAGACAGCATTCCATTTAAGTCCATTGAAGATGGCAGATGTGGGGTTACTCAGCTGACTTTCCTGAGATCCACACATCATCCTTGCTCCATACTCTTCAAGCTGGCAGGAGAAACAATACTTTCTATGACACACATTTGAAAGAAAATCCTTGTTTCTGCCACTGCTGCCATGGTATACATGAGTGCTGTGACAAGCTGCTGTCACCTCCTCCAGCACAAGACAGCCATCAGTCGTGATGCAGGGAGAAGCCATGTAAGATAAATGGAAATTTTAGCTTTTTTCTGCCCTGTAAGCTGTACACAGCTCATGACAGCAGGGCTAAATCATGTTGCCTCCTCACAGAAGAGTCAGGGCTGTATGTATCTGGCTCTTGGAGTTGCCTCTGAGTATAAGAGTAGAATATTCAAATGTGAGGGAATTTCCAGCCAGGAGGTGGCTATCCTGACTTGGCACTTAGCCTCATTGACCAGCACCGTGGTGGGTACCAGCCTCATCAGTAAAGCAGGGGAGGAAGCCTGTAATTACCTTCACAAACCTGAGCCAACCTGAGCAGCCCCCTTCAATAGCAATGTGTATTTTAAAGGCGTTTTAAACAAAATCCCTCTGTTCCCTCATCGCAGTGAGGTTTTGAAGCCAAGCAGAGGTTTAATGATCTGCCATTTTCTAGGCTACTGGTTCCTGCAGCTGCTGAGCCTTTGATAGAAACTGGCTGAAGAAGGAGGGAGAATCCTAAAGCACAGGATTGACATTTTCCCTGTGGTGTGCAAACAATAATGTTTTGGATCCTGTTCATGCACTGTGTCACTCCTAGCAGAGGGCTGGAGGCCTGGGTTTAAAATACTTTCCTGTATCTCAAGTTTCAGCCTCCTTCTTCCACTTTACATTATGGGGGAAGAGCTGGCAGCTCTTTTTCTCCTGCCTCTGGCTGTGGTAGGTATCACCTTTCTCGGACAAAGTCAGCAACAACACCTGCAGGAAGGGTAGACTGCATCATCCCTGGAAGCAGTCTGTAGTCCTGCTGACAGCTCAAGCTGATAGCAAATTAACTTCTGTTTGTGCACCTGTCAGCTGTGGGGTACTTCAGAAATGCTTTTGGCATGGCAGCTACAGGTCAGTTATGGGTCCTGTGAGAAGGCACTTTGGCAGTCTCAAATGCCCATAGTGTATCCATGGAGGTGTCCCCAGCACCTCCCTCACACCCACACCAACGATGCCATTAAGTACTCAGAGGAACAGCACCAGCCTCAGCAGCAGGAGACCTTTCTGATGTGAAAAGACATCAGAAGCCTTTGGCAGGGCATTCCCTCACTTCTCCCTCTCAGCACACGTCTATTGGTGTAAAATTCCTTCACGATTTGAGAGGAAGGGCCCTGGGCTCTATCCAGACACAGACATCTGTTTAGTTGTCAGGGAACAGAAGAAATCAGGCATGCTGTACAATCACCTTGGAGGCAGGAAGGCTGGGCTTTGGTGCTGTTGTGCACAGGAGGAGAAAGGTGAGGAGGAGGCTTCGACAACAGCCTCCTTCGTGGGCATTTGGTCTGAGGTAGCAAGAGCACCCCAACTGTGACCCTGAATATGGATTTGGAGCCTATTTCCAGGACATCCTGCAACAATTCCCTAAAATTTTTCTTTTCCTACAAAATGGCTTCTGCCACTAAGCGGTTTAGAAATGCAGTGTCATTTAAGCTAAATAGATTTATGCCCTTATCACAAACCACTTGCAGGAAGCAATGCCTCTTGTACTTTGAACTTAGAGGCTGCATTGTAAGCAAAAAAAGAAGAGCCCTCATATGCTAGAGACATGCTGACACTGGCATTTAGTTTTGCTAAACCCTTATTTGAATTTGGGTGCCTTCATTCTGAATGCTGTATGCTTTCACCTGTGGCCTTCTGCATGAAAAGCTCAGAAGAGCCTTTTCAGAAAACCTGGATTCTTAGAAAGCAGCATTGAAAAAGCCCATTTTAGAAGGAGAAACAGCTTTGATAAAATCTGTTTTAGAAGATCATTCTAAGGAAGGCCTTACTTGGGAGCTGCATGTTCAGACTCCGGGCCAGCTTCTGTGAGATGTGTCATTGCAGCCCCTTTGCCATGTGCGACCACCATCACTGCCAAGGTACTCAAAATTTCAGAGCAAGCAGGGCAAACTCTTGTGGTTGTTGGTCTGCCTCTCAGCAACCTATCTGTGTAAACACCCAAATCCTAAGCTCACACTTTACTTTTAATTACTTCGCTCTGCTCTGTCCGACCCCACTGGGACTTGGCTTGCCAGTTGAGAAGAGTGGAGCACCAGAGCCTGAAAGGATAGCATACCCCCATGCCTGCCTGACCTGTGGCAGGATTCCCCAAGTGTCTGCTCTTAAGGAGCAGTCAGGGAAAATTCATTGTGTAGGAGGCAGTTAATGGGGCTGCATTACCGACCCCTTATTGCTCTGTCTGATAGAGAGACAGCAGGCTCACTTTGGCAGCTCCAGAGCCCTGATCAGAATCAGTTCAGATTAGGGGCCCATCATCTGTCCAGCTTAGTCAGGCATGTTTAGATCTCCTGGTGGAGATTACCAGGTAGAAGATTCCAGCCTAGTTTAGATCCTCCTGGTCAATCATTTTTGTCTTTTACACATGCTGGGTCTGATTGTATACACTGGGCAGGTGTGCAGTTTAACTACATCCAAAGGCACTGTGTGTGTGTGCCCAGCATTGCACACAGGTAATGGTTCCAGCCTTCTGCTCAAGCAGAGGAGCAGTCAGTGCCTTGGAGAAGCCAGGCATCACCCTCAGTGGTGATGTCTGGTCTTGTGGGATTTTTTCTCTGGTCAGTAATTCAAGGACAGCATAGATCATGCTTCAATAAACAGAGCTGGCTCCTAGTTCCACCAGAAACTGAGGTGTTCAGGCTGTGAACCACACGTTGTTCAGAGGTTCACATTACTTCCTGCAGCTCATGTCTTCATTATTCGCTGTAGAGGAGGCTGCCCTAATGAGTCAACATCACCCAAATATTTCCATAGCAGAGGAATCCTCTGCACCTTGCTGTCTGGGAGCTCAGGGATCTTTTTATTAATCTAATTGTTTTATTGTTATGATAGCATCTGTGATCCCAAAGCATATTGATGAATTCTGGTAGCAATTTTCATAAAGGCAACAGAAAGTATGGAGATAATCTCAGTTCTGGAGGAATAACAATGTAAGTCATGTCCTCTCTGTACTGATGCCAGTTGCAGACATCCTTAGCTCAATGTTTATGTTTTCTCTGAAGTAATAAATTCACTAGTACTGTTCATTTGTGGACAATATGGTCAAATCCATGTACCCCTGTGAAACAGCATGGTTTATCTCTCACAGACAGTCTTTTCCCCAATATGCTTATCTTAATATGACTTATCTTAATGCATTTTTGAAATGCCCAAGAGACAACGAAGCACTGTGCAATCACAATCCCAGATAAATATCATCTGCCCAGAATATGCCAGTGGGAGTGTGAGAAAGGGCACAAGCATCCCATTGTCCTGCAGAACAAAAGGAAACAATTCTAAATGAAAAGGAAAAGCGGGGGAAAGAAAAGAAATGCCCATATATATAATTTGGCTGCCATTAGCTGTCTTTCCAGCCTTTTTGTTTATCTGTGTGAATAGTCCCTGCAACCCCATGTCTCTAAAGTGCAATGTTCCTCTGTATACACTTGGAAATGCCCCAGATCATTGACCTTGTTTTGGTGGGTTTACTTGTTGAAGGATGATTCTTGTTATTTTCCTCCCTCTTTGAAGACTGACTGCTTATAATGACACCCTGGATATTAAATGAAAACCTGAATCCTTTACTCTCACCCTTCAAACTCTGTTCACATAGAAGTCTCGCTGGTACAAGTAAGCACTGAAAAAAGCAAAGCTGTCAGCAGCTGGGGACTAGCATAAATTCCTTTTGTGTTGTTTCTTCATGGGTTTTGGGTTTGGAGTTTTATTTATTTAAAGCAATTGTTAACATTCAATGCTTTCCTCAAGCAGCCCCTTCTTTCCTGGGAATTTTGGATCAAAAGGGTATATTACACAGGACCCAGAGGTTAATTTGTTCCTTCTAGAAGAATCTGTATAATGTGACCACTTGTAAAGCTGATGGTACATCATGAATAGTTAATTTCAGAGGTCTTAATAAGTATTTATTGGCTTCTCCAGAATTGTCCTAGAACTTTTCATTAAAGACACAGGATATGGTGCTATTAATTGCTGTCCTTTGA